GTGGTTCTTCCTGCGCAGGTGGGACTGACTAACGGCGGTGCGTTCTCGATCCCCTGCGACTGCGACGGCGCCTGCTGGCGTCTATTCGCTGCGCCCGCGAGCTCATCGGCCACGCCGCCCTCTCCCGTTTCCTGGGAGCGCTGAGAGCCCCCGTTCGAATCGCAGCCCCTTTTTGCCGCCGACGACGGAGGGCCGCCCGTGTTCGACTGTGTTGGGAAACGGGCTCGGCGGGGGATCCAGGATAATCTCTCGATGATGCTTCGCGGTTCCAACGGGCCCTTCTGCAGACGCACGATGGGGCGCCAGTGGTGCGTTCTAATGCGTGATGCCCCTGCTTTGCGGTAGGCGCGAATCTGGGCAGGTTGCCCGGCGCGTCGAACTCGCGCGAGCGAGGGCCGAAGAGGCCATCTCGATTGGGAATCGTGGGGCTCGGGCCGTGGAATTCGAGGCTGAAAGATTGGTCCTTGTGCAGGGGGAGGACATGCTTGCCGCGGACCTGGACTGACAGGGGCAGGGCCGATTGCGCGGATGGCCAACCTGTGTGAGTATTTGTCGTTGGCAGACGATTCGGCGTACTCTCGTCGGGCAGCGGCGACGTCAGCCGTCGCGCGGCGCGCTGGCGCCGGGGCTGCTTCCTCGGTGGGCGGAGGGGCTACGGCGACGGCCGATGGCGGTGCTGTTCTTTGTTATCAGTGCCCGCGGCCTCTGCGCGCTGAGCATCGAATTCGGGGGGCGCTAGGCATCCTTCGAGGAGGCTGCTCGTAGGGCCGAGGCCAAGGCGGCCAGGCATAGGGGGGGGTGGCTGAGAGTAGTGCTCGGCGCGAGAGGGAACGAGGCGGGGCATGCCTCGGGGCTGGCTGGTGAAAGGCGGAGGACCGTTGACTGCGAACTTCGCCTTGGAAGGAGAGGGGGGGGGCCTTGCGTCGAGGGCCGGGGCCGCTGAGTCCGAAGCATTCGCCTCTGCGCTGCCTGGGGCTTTTTTGTCTGGAGAGCAGGTTTGAGGGGAAGGGCGGGGCCCCTGCGAAGCCCGCCAATGCATCGCGACCCATTGCGAGGAGCGGCGGGCCAGGAGGAGGCCCCCGCGCGGTTGGCGTGGGGGAGGAGCCCCGATTCCGAGCTTTTCGGGCCAGTGGTCGGTCCCCCCAGCTCGGAGTGGTCGCGGCGCCAGGAGATTGGGGCAGGGAAGGCCTGCCGGCCCACCTGGAAGCGGCGGGCCTGATGGAGATGGCCCTCCCAATTGAAACGGGCCCCGGGTGGAGAAGGGCCGCTGGGAGATGGTGCCCTTCTATGTGGCGGTGACGATTTGTCGGCCCCTCTCGTTGGGGATTGCCAGAGAGGCCCAGGGAAAATGCGAAGGGGGGAACGTCGTCCTTCCAGACGTCTTCAACGCCGTCTCGCAGGCCGAATGGTCCAGGGCAGCGTGCTGGCTGGTGGCCGCTGCTGCGTCTGAGACTGGTGAAGCATTCAGATGGTTTCGACAGTCGCTGGATGTCAAGTTCCTATGGGCGCTCTATTGGTTGAACGCTGGTAAATTCTCTTCGCAGGACTTTGCGATCGCGTGCAACCTGCCTAGGGGGGGGGGGGGGGGCGAGCTTTCGATTGTTTCGGAATCGACGGGCGAGACGAGAGACAGCTCTCGGCTGATATAAGCAGACTTGATGAGATATATTGCTGGGGGAAGGGCGTTTCCGTCGTGGAAGGGAAGCCTTGAGAATGATTGTCCATCGCGTTTCGGTGAGATCTGACCGCGGGTTTGTATGCTCGCTCCATGGCCTCCTTGCGCGTGGGATCATGAGATCGATGGGCCAGACTCGCGCCGGGCTGACTCGTTTCATCTGCGCCCACATGCGCGAGCCGAGCCACTCGCCGGAATCCAGCGAGGATTTGTGGCCAGCACAACGGGGGCGCAACTTCGATCAGCTTAAGAGAAGCCGTTCAATCGAACATGCGGTGCTGCTCACGAGTATGAGCGTCGAAGACGAGGCGACGAAACTAAACTTCGATTGGGGCAATTAGAAGACAGGGCAGACAGTGGAGCGGAGACGACAATGAGAAACGGGGTGCAATGCTGTCCGATGCTCACGGCGCCCTCGAGGAGGCCGGTCCAGCGCCGCCGATGGACTGTCGGGTTGGCCTGTTCATGCGGAACGGGGCGCCCGAGAAGCAAGGTATCTGTCGAGATTTCGCGGCGGGGAATTGTGGGGCAAAAAATGGATGCCTGCTCAAGCGTGGCTCGTCTTCGGAGGACAAGGCGGGCCCTGGTCCGAAGGGGCGGGGTCAAAGGGGCATGGGGCCCGAGGGCTCTGGGGCCCTTTCCCGCGCCGCTGCGCCCGCCCTGAGCGGTGGTGAGATTTCGAGTGGCGCTTCCCAGGCATCAATGACCTCGATGGCTTCCAAGGGCGCCGGTGCGCCAAGGGGCGGGGGCGAGGGGCCCACTCCGTGCTGGGCTCGCAGCAGAGGGGAGTGGCAGAGCGCAGTGCGGCGGAAAGGATTACCCACTACAGTCAACTCGTGTATGTTTGAAACGCGGATGATTGATCGCGGGTTGCGGGGCCCGGTTGTTTGGCCAGAAATGTGGGCAGGGTGAGCTTCCCGGCGCGCGTGTATTGGACGTGGCTGTCCCGCCCTGAACGACTGCGGCACATGAAGGCGGCGATTGCTTTATTTTTCACGTTCGATGGCTCGGCGCCGCCGGGCGCTGTGCGACAGGCGTGGCCCAGGAGACCCAGCGACGGTGCATCTCTCCAGGCGACTGCTCCCGCGGCGCCGAGCCAGGGCGCGCTGGCTCTTGTCTGTCGGAGAGGCGTGTTCAGGAAGCGCACTCGATCGCTGGGTCATGAGATCGCGCCTCTGCTCGACGTGACCTAGAGCCGTGCTGCGTTCCGGGCTTGGGCAGCGACGGCGGGAGGGGCGCCGTCCGCGCTGGTGGATTGTAGAAGTTAGTTTTGGGATGTTCGTCTCGACGGAAGTTTTTGCGGCGTGGCAGCCGACGAGTTTCTACTTGAAAATAGGCGCGCGCTCGCCGTCGACGCCGCCGATTTCGCTGACGGGGCGCGGCTTGAATTGGAGATGGCGACGGCCGATGTGTCGATCCAGCGCGTGTTTAATGCGCTGAATCCTCATGTGCAAGCCCGCCCATCAGCTGGCAGCGGGCGTGATGGAGGCCGACGGTGCAGCCGTGCTGACAGACTGTGAGACACCGCGCGATGCAACGGAGCATTTCTACGCGCTTCTACAAAGGGCGAGAATCACAATGCGCGACTTGATTGAGAAGGATAGAGCCGGCAATCCCGTTGACACCCATCTCATTTGGAATGAGAGACTATGGTCTTGTCCCGGGCATGTCTGTGGTTGCTTGCATTCTTGCGCACGTGAGGCCATTGGCATGGATATCCGAAGATTGCAGCGGTTCCGAGTTGAACAACGCAGCTCCTCTCGAGTGAGCCCAGTTGTTCCACCCGCTCGCGTTTACATCAGTTGTGTCCCTGCAGCCGCTATTGCAATGGAGTGGATGGCACTTTTTGAATTTGATTCTAAGAGCAAGGAGTCAATGACCGAGATCCCGTCCTAAAGAGACGTAGCAATTTGTGAGGCTGCGTCAGAATCGCTGTCTTTCCACATGCGGTCTCGCGGGATGCCCGCTCTTGCTGCGATTGGTTCGGCCTTGACATGTTATGGTGAATGTGCCAATTTGTTCATGGCGGCGTGCATGGGCGTTGCTCGCGCTAGGGAGGCTTCTTCTTGTGCTTTATTTATTGGCTTGCAGAGTGAATCGGCGAGCGTTGCGGGATTGTTGTTTTTCCTGTGCCGCCTGCGTCCACGGACGCGTTTGTCGCGCGGCTGTTGGCGGGCGGGTGATGCCGCGGAAATTGCCGATGGTCTCGCTGCCTATGAGCATTGGGCCGCGAGCGCAAGCACGAGGCATCCTTTCACAAATGCTGGGCAAACTGCACAGACAGTCCTGGCTCGCCATGGAAGGCGTCACAGGTTGCGTGCGGAGTGCAAGCGTGGATTGCGCCGAGTTTGATCGGAAGCTTGCCAAATATTTGTCAGTGCAATCAAGCAATCCTTGCGGCCATGCCTGGTCGTCGTGTCGTCGGAATATAACGTATTTATAAAAATGGGCTGCGCCGAAAGAAGGCGATGGCGACAAAGCTTGCCAAAGACGCCCGCGAAGGGGCCAGAAATGGCCAGAGGCCACGTCAGCCCCCTCTTGCTGCACTCTTCTCTTACGCTGGTGGTGGATTCGCCCAGCGACCGACGCCAGTGAACCCGCCCCCCCTGGCGAGAGGCGGGGCTGCCTGCCTGCGACCGACAGTCTCCGTGCCGCGGCATGCGCCACGAACGGCACGGCACGTGGACGCAGGGCAGGAAGGGAATGCGGGTGGGAGAAGGGGCTCAACCTCGAATAGTCACCTCAGATGCTTGTTCTCCTCCTCCTCTTCCTCTTCTTCCTCCTCCTCATCATCGTTATCATCATCACCATCATCATCATCATCACCATTATCATCATCGTCGTCGTCATCATCATCAGCTTCACCATCATTATTATGTTTCCTTCCTTCGTTTCGTATCCGAATAGCTTGGAACGCGCGCGCGCGGGGAGACACATACATGATATATCGATAGGACAAGGACCGTTCGTATATCGGCCGTCATTGAGAGGACGTCGTCGCTGCATCAGCGTCCCGTGGCTCGTCAAAGACAGGAAAGCGACAGGGATAATACTTGTGTTTCAGACCGGACGTGGACGCTTCCAAGGTCAGTGGGCCTTCCAGGCGGCCAGCCGGAGCGTCAGCGCGCGATCACGCCTGGACCTTCCAGGTCAGTACGCCTGTTCCTTCCCTGCCCCCCCTCCCTCCCTCATACCTCTTGTCTTCCTCCTTCCTCATCGTTCGAGTTTACCCCTCGCCATCCTCCTCCCCATCCTGCTGCGGCTGCTGCTGCACCTCCTCCTCCTCCTCCTCCTCCTCCTCCTCCTCCCACTCCCCCTTTTTCTTCCTCCCCCTCCTCTTCCCGATTCTCTCTGCGCCTCCCCCTCCGTGATCCCCTCTACCCTCCCTCATTCGCCTTTTGCACCGTCGTCGAGGGGCTGTCGGAGCCGAGGGTTCAGAAGAGGGTAGATCCGCCAGACAGCCTCGCCCGCCGGCCGCTGGCTGCTCACACGACACCGACACCATGGGGCGCCGTCCGGCGCGGTGCTACCGCTACTGCAAGGGCAAGCCGTGGCCCAAGTCGCGCTTCGTGCGCGGCGTGCCAGACCCAAAGATGAGGACCGCAGAGACGACGACGACGACGACGACGACGACGACGACGACGACGACGACGACGACGACGACGACGACGACGACGACGACGACGACGACGACGACGACGACGACGACGACGACGACGACGACGTTTTGGTTTCAGATTCGTTTCCCCCGTTTCTGCAGGTGCTCGTCGCCCCGGCTGGACGCAGCTCAAAAGTGTGGCCAGGATGGTTCCCAGGATGGCTGAGGTGACCAGTTTTGCGCGGATTTGAGTCCGTCGCCCCGGGAGTGTCAGGATTGTTACCTGAGCTTCCCAAGGATCTTCGACACGGGTAAGAAGAAGATCCCGTGCGAGGAGTTCCCCTGCGCGGCGCACATGGTGTGCGATGAGATGCAGCAGCTCACCTCGGAGTCGCTCGAGGCGGCCCGCATTGCCACCAACAAGTACATGTCCACGAACGCGGGCAAGGACTTCTACCACATTAAGGTGCGGCCCCATCCGTTCCACGTGCTCCGCATCAACAAGACGCTGTCGTGCGCAGGCGCCGACCGCCTGTCGACCGGCATGCGCGGGGCGTTCGGCAAGCCCTACGGCACAGCGGCGCGCGTGAGGATTGGCCAGGTGCTCCTCTCGGTCCGCACCAAGGAGGAGAAGCTCCCCATCGCGGTGGAAGCGCTCCGCCTTTCCAAGTTCAAGTTCGCTGGCCGCCAGAAGATCCACGTCTCCAGCTATTACGGCGACGACAGACGACGACGACGACGACGACGACCACGACGACGACCGTCCGACGACGACGACGACGGCGACGACGATGACCACGACGACGACGATGACGACGACGACCGACGACGACGACGACGACGGCGACGACGATGACCACGACGACGACGACGACGACGATGACGTCGACGACGACGACGACGACGACGACGACGACGGCGGCGGCGGTGGCGGCGACGACCACGACGGCGACGACGACGACGGTGGCGACGACGACGAAGGCTTCACCAAGTTCACCAAGGAGGACTACGCGAAGTGGAAGGCGATGGGCCGCCTGAGGCCCAACGGCGTGGACGTGCAGTGGCTCTCGAGCCGCGGCCCCCTGTGGCGCCTCATCGGCAGGAGCTGAGCCGCGGTGCCGCCCGCCCGGCCCTGCTGATCGACGAAGGGCAGTCGGCATAAGCCTCGAAGAGCACAGAAGCCCTCCAGAATCGAAGAAGACAATACCAGAAACGTATGCTTTCGGCGCTCCGCGCCTTTTTCTTGTATCGGCGCTGGGACCTCCTGGCGGCGCCTCTGGCGCCGCCTCTGGTGCGCTTTTCGCGCCAGCGGATGGTGACCTGGAGCCGATCCGAGGGATCCGCGCTGACCTCCGAAGGGTGTCTGTGCTTATGCCGACTGTTCCGCTTCCAGCCGGGAGAGAGATGGCGCGCTGCCGCGCAAGGACGGACGCGACGCGGCCCGGGCGCCCGCGGTCGTCGGCGCGCAGAAGGGGGCGCTGGGCGAGGGGGCGGGGGGTGGCGGCCTGCCAGGGGAGCAACCTCGTGGACCGGCTGTTGGGCGCTTCTGGGCCTCCTTGAGCGCCCTTGCAGGGTCCGTGTCGATCCGAGCGGTCTGATTCTGCGGCACCTCTGGCCAGTTCTGTCCGGTCCGATTCGATGCCGATGCCCCGACGATCTGATGCGGCCCGATGCTTGCATGGCGCTGCTGTTGTGCGTCGTTGCGCGGCCGATTCGATTCGATTCCGACTCCGTGCCGATGCGGCCCGATCCGACGCACATTCCGATGTGATCCGATTTCACGATTCGATGCTGACCGATCATGCCCTCGCATCGAAGTTCTGGCCAGGACGCACCCCTGGAGAGGTATGGGTATGAGTTCGGAGGGGGACGTGCCAGACATCCGGAAGTGTGGGCACTTCTCTCTTTCGGCCTCCAGACGCCCAGGTCGGTTCTCGGGAATCATAAGCAACATACAGGTACAAACGGCGCTTTCCAGGAAGGGTCAGTACGTCTAGGGGACACGTATTTATGCAATCATTGCATGACCACGACGTTGAAAGCCCTCCTGCCTTCTAAGACACTTCCTTAGAAGCCTTCGGTCCCCTCTGAGAATACCCCTGCTTTCTTCGAAAGCCGCCCCCTTTGCCTTAACCCCCTTTGGCGCGCCGCCAATACTCGCCAATCTGGACACTACGGGAGAAAATGAGCACGGGGCGCTTGACGGCTCATATGGACCGACTGAGCGATTGCTCCCAGCTTGTGCTTCGTTTGTCTTGAGGTCTTTGTTCTACCCTGGTAGCCAAAGCAGGTGTTGTGGTGTTGGTCACCGCATCGGGGAAGCAGCTCCCGATGACGACACATTCGAGGCGTCCTCGTGCGCCAGCGTGAACCTGGGCCCTTCGCGAAAGACGACGTAGGGAGGGAGGGCACTTTCCACAGCACATGCAGCGATTCGTTCCTGAACGTCTGCTGCTCTGCTGTGGCAGTGACCCCTAGAGGCGTGAGTTTACGTGTGATATTCTGAGCGCGGGTGGAGCGGCAGTCTGGCAGGACGTTGCTGGGACCCTTTGCTCCCTTAGCGTTGGTGTATGTCCTGCTTCTGACTGGATGTTCGATCCCCCACACCACTTTCTGTCTCAGTCGTAGTTCCCAAGCTGGCTCGCACGAGTTAGCGCGGAATGTGTCGGTCAGGCAAGCATGGTTTCCACGGGCATTTGGCAGGACTCAGGCTCGATGTTGCGCAGACTGGTTCTCGGCAAGTATCGGTCGAGCAATGCCTGACACACTTTTCTAGAGACAAGGCGCAGGTCTATCATAGGACCACGTTGTCCGAGCGCGGCTGGCTCGTCATGTTTCTTGCGTGGAGGACGTCGTTTGCGGGGGCGCTGCGTCCTGCTTCGATCACCCGTCGAGCCGGAGGCCAGCTCGGGCAATAGCGGGTTCGAGCTGCTTGCCCAATCAATTTGCCCTTTCCTCGGAGCATCCCGAGGTCCTTGATAAATCCGGGGGGGGTCCCCCCTCCCCCGATGGGGGCCAACCTCGCCACGTCAGCGCTGCGCGCATCGTGGCGCGGCGCAACCGGCACTCGGTGTTTACCTGCGACAGAAGTGGTTTTCGGAGTGGTTGTAGCCAGGGGCGTTTACCAAGACATGCAATGCAGAGTCTTGTATGTCCTCATCTGGGGGCGCGGGCATCCTGGGGGTCAAATGCGATAGCGCCACCTGCTCCGTTCAAACTGCTGTTGTTGTTCTTGCAAGGCATACCGCGGCAGTATGTAAGTAACTACACACATGCACACGCAATGTGGCATCTGATCAGCATGCACGCTGTCATCACACTAAGAGATAATGTATAATACGTATGACCCCGAGCCCAAAGGATTTTTCCACCACCTGCGCTGTTATGCTGACTGGTTTCAGGCTGCACAGAAGTTCCACGTTTGGCGCGGTACTTTTGATGCTGCTTGCCTAGCTGGTCTTGGCCCACCGACTGGGGCAGCGAGGAAGAGACCGCTGCACCTCATGATTTCTTCTATGCACGAGTGGGCGCGGGATGCAGAGCAGAAGGACGAGAAGCGTGGGGAGGGATGTTGAAGATGACTGCTCCGTGGAGGAGCGGAGCACAGGGAGAACAACTCCGTTGTCACTTGGGCCCAAGCCGAATCGAAGGCCGCGTGGGGCCCCGAGGGCTGCTACCGAGACTCCCCGTCCGGCCAGCCAGCCGCCGCACTCTCAGCCATGCGGGCGTTTCGCGCGGCGTGGCTCCGCGGTGGCACGTCCAAAGGGCTGTTCGTGCAGCCCGGGGACCTGCCGCCCGCAGGCCCCGCCCGCGACGCGCTGCTGCTCTCGGCCCTGGGTAGCCCAGACGCCACGGGCCTCCAGCTCAACGGGATGGGCTGCGGCATCTCCTCGACCAGCAAGGTGGCCGTCGTCTCGAGGTCGGAGCGCCCTGGCTACGACGTCGACTACCTGTTCGGGCAGGTGGAGATGGAGGGTTTCTCCGAAGGGCTTAGGCGACCCGTCCTCCTCCTCCTCCTCCTCTTCCTCCTCCTCCTCCTCCATCTCCATCTCCATCTCCATCTCCATCTCCATCTCCATCTCCATCTCCATCTCCATCTCCATCTCCATCTCCTCCTCCTCCTCCTCCTCCTCCTCCTCCTCCTCCTCCTCCTCCTCCTCCTCCTCCTCCTCCTCCTCCTCCTCCTCCTCGGGTCGCCTACGGCCCTGGGGGAAACCGTGCAGGTGGAGATTCAGCGGCGGCACATCAGCTGGCAGGGCAGCTGCGGCAACCTCGCCGCAGGCGTCGGGATCTTCGCCCTCGCGGAGGGCCTGGTGGCGTCCTGCGCCGACGAGGGACGCGCGCTCCCCGTCCGCGTGTGGCAGGCGAACCAGGGCTACGGGATGGTGGTGCTCGAAGAGCAAGAGCTGCATACAAATACACTTTCGAGGAGGAGGAGGAGGAGGAGGAGGAGGAGGAGGAGGAGGAGGAGGAGGAGGATGAGGAAGAGCGAAAATTCTTCACGCTTCGCGAGTCCCCACCAGCTGCATGATGCTCGAGCTTCCCTGGGCGTTGCAGTTCAGCCAGTCAGCCCCCCGCCGCCGCTGCCGCAGTTGCTGCCTCTGAGGGTTGGCCTGGCCGGCTCGCGCTGCGCCTTGCAGCTAATTAGGCTTGCCCGTTGGCCTGGGCTCGCCGCCTGCGCTTTCGCTTGCGGCCGCGACCAGAAAGAATCCCCATCAGCCCATTCAGAAGCCCTGCCCTCGAGAGCTGACGGGAAAAGGGAAGAAGGGACACATCCAGGGAAACAAAGCGAGCAACCAGGATGAACCGAGAGATCTCTGGGAGCAAGGGGGTGGCCTTGGAAGGCCTCTTCGGGCCATCCCTGGGGGCCCCGTGGGGGCGAGGGGAAGAAGAGGAGGAAGAGGAGGAGGAGAAGGAGGAGGAGGAGGAGGAGGAGGAGGAGGAGGAGGTGGAGGGATCCAAAGAGTGTGATCCCTGGTGGTGGTGCTGCTGCTGGTGGTGCTGCTGATGTTGTTGCTGCCTCTGCTGGTGCTGCGGCTCGTGCCCTGGAAGGCCTGTTGGGGCCATCTAGGAGAGCATCGATCAAAAGATGGGGGGTCCTCGATTCCGGCCCCCTCCCAGGAGCCCTCAAAATCGCCCCTTGGAGCTCTCCTGGGGCTCTTTGGGAGGGTATTGGAGCTCTCTTGGGGTATTTTTAAGGGTCTTGGGGCCCTCCTGGGGCCCTCTTGGGGCTCTCTTGGGGCCCTCTTGGGAGCCCTGGAAGGCCTCTTGGGGCCATCTTGAAGGTCATCGATCAAAGGAGGAGATGGTATAACGTTCAGCCCCCCCCAAGAGGCCAACATGGGGCCAAAACCTCAATACAACCAATGATTTTGGCGCCCAGAGGGCTGGTGGGATAACGTCGAGCCCCCCCCCCCCCACACACAAAGAGGCCAACATGTGGCCAACAACTCCTTAGAAAAACCAGTGATTTTGGCGCCCAGAGGGCTGGAGGGATAATGTTCGATCCCCCCCAAAAGGCCCAAATGGGGCCAAAACCGCAGTAAAACCAATGATTTTGGCTTCCTCGCCGAGGCCGTTTTAGACGCCCTGACACCTCGCGTCCCCCCCCCTCCAAAAAATGTCCAGGGGAGGGGTAGGGGGAGGGGTCAAGACTCCCTCCCCGCCCGCAAGCCGTCTCGCTCACTCCCACCCGCCCTCCCAGCACATACGTAGCACCCGAGCCTGGCCCGAGCCTCAGCATATCCAGCTGTCGTCTTTGGATGGGCAGCTACTGGGGGCGCATCCGCCGCCGCCGCCGCCGCCTCCGCCGCCGCCCCGGCCGCCCGCCGCCGCCGCCGTGCCGCCGCCGCCGCCGCGCGCCCGCCCGCGCCGCCGCCGCGCCGCCGCCGCCGCCGCCGCCGCCCGCCGCCGCCGCCGCCGGCCCGCCGCCGCCGCCGCCGCCGCCGCCCCCGCCGCCCCCGCTGCCGAATCGCCGACGCCGCAGCCGCTGCCGCCGCAGTCGCTGCCGCGCCCCGCTGCCGCCGCCGCCGCCGCCGCCGCGCCGCCGCCGCCGCGCCGCCGCCGTCGTCCGCCGCCGCCGCCGCCGCCGCCCCCGCTGCCGAATCGCCGCCGCCGCAGCTGCTGCCGCCGCAGCCGCTGCCGCCCCGCCGCCGCCGCCGCCGCCGCCGCCGCCGCCCCCGCCGCCGCCGCCGCCACCGCCGCCGCCACCGCCGCAGCCGCCGCAGCCGCTGCCGCCGCCGCGGCCGCCGCAGCCGCCGCCGCCGCCGCCGCCAATTGTACTGTGTATTGTTGTTTGACAGGGATGGTGGGGGAGGCCGCATCGGGTTGGCTGCGCATGCTGCGAATTTGGAGACAGAGTGTGTGTTTGTATGTTTTTTGCAAGGAATGGTGTGGGGGGGTGCCCGCATTATTACTGGTTGGCTGCCAGTCGCCTGGGGGAGGGGGTGTATATTAATAGGGAACAGTGATAAACCCTTCCCCGTAGGGGAAGAGGGTTTTTATTTGAAGAGGGAAGAGGGATCTCGTTAGACCTGACCACCTGCGCCCACAGGTCTGGTGGGGCTGCTACATTTTCGGAGGTCCGCGCGATTTTTTTTGGTCGGTGCTGAGCTTCCCCCTGCCAGCGCCTCCGGCGCTGCCATGATTCGGGCCCAGCGCCGACCGAAAAACACCGCCTGGACCCCCGCGCGCAATTTGTGCCTGCCCTTCTCGCGGCGATCTCCCACAGGTGCACGTGCCGCGTGCCGCTGGCGTCCCTCAGCTCGCGAGCGCGCTGCTCCCAGACGCCGACGCCGACCTGATGGCGCTGGCGGGCGTGCCCGGCCGGGAGCCGGCGGTGTACGTGGAGCTCCTGGCGCCGCACGGCGGCCGCCCCCTGCTGCCCACGGGCCGCGTGGTGGACGCGCTGCGGCTCCCCGGCGGGGGCACCGTGGAGGCCACGCTGGTGGCCGCGGGGAACCCGACGGTCATCGTGCCCGCGGAGGCCGCTGGCCTCCGCGGGACGGAGCTGCCGGCCGACATGGATTACGCGTCCCTGCTGCCGCTGGTGGAGGACCTGCGGGCCCAGGGCGCACGGGCGATGGGCGTGGAGCTCTCGGACCAGCCCCGCGTGGCGTTCGTGGCGCCGCCCGAGGAGTACGCGACCAGCGCGCAGGAGCGGGTCTCGAGCTCGGCCTGCCACCTGCTCTCGCGGATCAGCACCCCAGG